GTGTGTACCGTTCCCCTCGGCCCAGGTTATGAAAAAAAACTGTACTCGAATGTTCTCAAAAACCATTCAGGGGTTTTCAGAATTTTGATATACCGTGGATAGCTGATATAATTACGGGTACTCTGCGCCTTATCTGATCAAAATCGGTTGAGTAATAAATAAGTTGTGAATAAAAAAACATACCTGAATCGGGGGAAAAATCGGCGTGTTCCGTACCCGAAAAGTCACGTGGTATGGCCACATTGTAACTGCAGCTCTCTTTCTGCCGATTTATTTGACAAGAACATTACCGACTCTCCTTTGTGTGAATGTGGTGCAAGAGAAAATGCTTATCACTACTTTCTTGAATGCCCTAAATATACAAACCTACGACCTGAATTAATAAGTACTATATCTCAATTTTGTAATCCTTCCATCAATGTCATTCTTACAGGTTCCACTACTTTACCTTATGATTCTAATGTATTAATCTTTAAATCAGTTCAAAAATATATCCGAGATACAAAACGATTTTAGCGTACTTAAAACCAGAGTTGTCTTAACATATTTGACATTTACTAGATTATGCATCTTAGTTCCTCGTTATTGTTCCATCATTGTTCATCCATTTCCTCCTTCCTTTTTCTAATATATTGTTTTTCTTTAAATATTCAGTGTTTATTTATTGTGCGTATCTGCTAATATACAGCTGTAAGCATTCAAATAAGATATTATTTTTCTTCTTCTTACTAAATTCTAAACCAAAAAATACTAAAATAGGTGTTTGTCTATTTGTACTTTTTTGTGAATTGCTTTATTCTTTAATCATTTTTTTCCTCCTTTTTACTGTTTGCTCTTACATATGTTACATTGTTAAATACTTAACTCTTTTAACTATTGAATACTTCAACTAACCATTGTGTATGATAATGCCATGAACTGTGTTATTGTAAATTATTATAACTGGGAGAGGACATTTATAAGCTTTATAGCTTTCTGCCCAATCCCAAAATGTACTTTGTAAATATTGTTCACTTGTTTAATGTTTTGTTGAATAAATATGTTTAAACCAACCCTCCAATATATATTTTAAAGGTACAATGCACATATTAACGAAATATACTGTATCAAAGGTTATAACCAAGCTCTAACAGGGCTATATGTTATGTAAGTTAAGTTGTAATAGGGTTGGTAAGCGAACAGTATGGATCTTGATCAGACGGCGCGGATGCGCAGGCTGATCTGGATTCATGCTGTTCGCAATCGCATTATGTTGGTTTTGTCATGGCGCGGCTCATATGCGTAAACAATAGAAATAATAATACAACATGTATATTGTTAAGTTAACAAGATCAATAAAGGACACTTCAATATCTATTGAAATTTACTTTTAATAATTCTAGATTGAATTGGGGATAGTGGTGTTGTTAATCTAATTGTATAGTTAGCAAAGGTTATTAAAATAGGAGGAAAAGATTAGTTAGTTTTTTTAGTAGAGACAGTCTCATTCAGCGATAAAATAATAAATAAACACGTAGATAAAAAATTGTGAAATAGAATATCATGTACTTCCGTGTACATTATAGGATATAATAACATGATCAACGATACAGAGTACAATAAATCACGCATTTTAAACCTTTGACTTTTTATTAACACTCATGCGATAGTTTTAAAGTCGCCCGTATATTTTAAGTTATAGTTTTTTTGGCATGTTATATGGACCTGCATAAACTGTAGTATTGCAAATAACCGTTTATATACAGTCATATTACCTGACAAGAATTTTATAACGAAATTTTATAACTTTATTAGAGCAAAAAGAAATTATGTCATAAGTCGACTGCAGCCGTGTACATTTTACTCGTAGATTATATTCATGAACTTAACATCACGATTATCGTTATAAACGTGCAATATTATAAAATGCCAGTTTTAGCTGTGCATAAAGGTATAACCCCCCAAATGCATTACCTATCTAAATAGGTTAGAATTATGATCTACTGCATTAAATCTGAGGGGTGTCGGTTCATACTCCAGATGAGTCAACATTTTATTTCTTTTAACATTAATGTAATTGTCTTAGATCCCTCTTAAGTAAGGTTTTAATAAATTGGTGTCTATTTGAAATATTAGAAATAAGTAAATCATAATTATATGGTAAGTCGTGTTTAATTCAGTAGTTGATGTTACCATAATTATATCAGATATAAAAGTGGCAGGAAATAAGTTAAAAGTATTTGTAACTGATAATTTCTTATTTATATATAATCAAAATTTAATTATTTATTTAAGTGAAATAAGAATGAGTACACAAATAACTGTTTATACAATTACAAAACTACTTATATCGGTTTAACCCACAAACTATATATTTAATGTCAAGTTAGTTTCATGTATATTAGGATAGGTTTCTTACATACACAAAGATTCATTATCTTAAGAGATATGATACATCATGTTTTATATGTATAATAAACATTGTAACAGCACATGTCCTTACTTTTACAAATATACATTTCATATATGTCCCTGATACAGGTAGTAGTGTGGGGTGTCGGGGGAAAGAGGTGGGGTACAGGGGCATTAGTTAAGTTTAAAACGAATATTTGCACACAGAACTTGGTAGGTTTTTAAATTAATATTCATTCATGATATAAAGTCCTACATATAAATTTCTTATAAAAATAAATATTTGTTTAAACGTAATGAATCATGTTTAAACATTTGTAAATTTCTAACATACGTAACAATTTTCCGTTTGTATAGGTAGAGATCTATAAATATGTAAAAGTCCAATGACAATGTTTAAGGTCTATAAACAGAACAGGTGCGTCCGTGGCAGAGTGGTTAAGGTCGTTGACTATAATTATTTTGTCCCTCATCGCTGTGGGTTCGAACCCCGACAGGGACTTTGGATACTTTCATGTGAGGCAGCTATCCAGCTTTTTTACGGAAAGTCGGCAGTTCTACTCAGGTGCCTGTTCGTGCCTGAAAAAAATGCATGGAAGGACACCTGAGGTCTTTCTCCAGCAGAAAAGCTGGAACGTCGCTATATGACCTACACTGTGTCGGTGCGACGTAAAATTCAATCAAACAAACAAAATATAGAGATCAGCCGATGATTTTTAACAGGTAGATCTTGGCTGCTTTCGATTTCATGTCATTTTGCAGTAACTTTAGAAGTGTAGGCAAGGCGGCATAACGAATTTGTTCATATATCATCTTCTGATAGCCGCCGTATGATCACATCTGCGGATGTTTCTTAATTCAAATTTTTACCATTTCATATTGAATTCTGCTTAAGTCGGTGCTAGGGGCGTGGATAGTAGTTGCGCTTGATAGTACCGTCCATGAACAGGCTCAATCAAACAGATTCTGCAACATTTTACAATTTTACCGTTTTGGGCTTTCTTTGGGGATTATTATTTTCTCTATTATTTCGAGAGTTAAATACGACGTTATCATGTTCTTACTGCAAAAAATATGATAAACAAGATCAACAAGGAAAGGCGGCGTTCAATGAATGCAACCCCGACATGACCCAGCAACAAGAACTAGAACTGCCACTATCATGGCGTGAATACCCCCGCATACCACTTTGTCAGAATCAACAGTGGCCATTTAGAACTCAAGGACAACCTCCCTGCCAAATCTGAGGTTACTAAGCCAGTGCATTGCTAAGTTATATATTCTACATGCTTCAAATGTGAAAATGTCAAAATCAATACACTCTGGACAGGCACTCTGAAGCAATTGAGGGGAAAAGCTTTATTTTGACAAGGTCCCTGTGACCTTGACCTTTGACCCAGTGACCTCAAAATCAATACAGATCATTTACTTATCATGACGAACCTCCATGCCAAATATGTGACCTTGACCTTTGACCTGGTGACCTCAAAATCAATAGGGGTCATCTACTAATCACGACTAACCTCCATGCCAAATATGAAGACTGTGGGTCAAAGGAATCTTAAGTAATTGGGCGGACAAGCTTTTTGAAATCAAGGCCCCTGTGGCCTTGACCTTTGACCTGGTGACCTCAAAATCGATAGGGGTCATCTACTAATCACGACTAACCTCCATGCCAAATATGAAGACTGTGGGTCATAGGAATCTTAAGTTATTGGGCGGACAAGCTTTTTGAAGTCAAGGCCCCTGTGACCTTGACCTTTGACCCGGTGACCTCAAAATAGATAGGGGTCATCTACTAATCACGACTAACCCCATGCCAAATATGAAGACTGTGGGTCAAAGGAATCTTAAGATATTGGGCGGACAAGCTTTTTGAAGTCAAGGCCCCTGTGACCTTGACCTTTGACCTGGTGACCTCAAAATCGATAGGGGTCATCTACTAATCACGACTAACCCCCATGCCAAATATGAAGACTGTGGGTCAAAGGAATCTTAAGTTATTGGGCGGACACGCTTTTTGAAGTCAAGGCCCCTGTGACCTTGACCTTTGACCTGGTGACCTCAAAATCAAGAGAAGTCATCTACTAATCAAGACTAACCTCCATGCCAAATATGAAGACTGTGGGTCAAAGGAATCTTAAGTTATTGGGCGGACAAGTTTTTTGAAGTCAAGGCCCCTGTGACCTTGACCTTTGACCTCAAAATCGATAGGGGTCATCTACTAATCAAGACTAACACCCATGCCAAATATGAAGACTGTGGGTCAAGGGAATCTTAAGTTTTTGGGCGGACAAGCTTTTTGAAGTCAAGGCCCCTGTGACCTTGACCTTTGACCTGGTGACCTCAAAATCAGTAGGGGTCATCTACTAATCAAGACTAACCGCCATGCCAAATATGAAGACTGTGGGTCAAAGGAATCTTAAGTTATTGGGCGGACAAGAAAAAACCGACGACACGCTCTGCAGGTCTTATTGATCTCTAGATAGACCATTACTGTAGTATGAAAGTTCTATAAAAAAAAGGAATTACGTCATCATGACGTCATATAGCTAGTACTTATAACCTTTGCTTAATATGGTAAAGCAAAACAGTCAAATAAAAAAGTAAAGTTTCATTTAGCTAACTAATTCATTTGTATTTTCGTTTTCAACAGATATACTAATGATCACGTGACGACGTTAGTGCCGGAAGCTATGTTAGAAACTAGACATCATTGGCTACCCATCATCATAGCTGTTTATCTACCTGCGTCTTTCATTATCACGTAAGAATTTTTATGTTGACTTTTATTATTTGTTTGTTCGTTTCATTTTACGCCTTTTCCCAACATTATTTTAGTTATATATATAGGCAGGTAGTTTCCTAACCATCGTTCCTGGAGAGTTACACCAGTACAAGACTAGATTTACCTTCCTCCGTGTAAAACTACCAAAGCATCTTCGGGGGATAGACCCACGCTAGAGTCATCGACTCTAACCCTTCGACCACGGAGACGTTTATTATGTTTGTAAGAAGTTCTATAGATCTGGATTCTGTCTGAACTTTAAATGGCTGAATTTACACAGGCATTAAGAACTGCTGTCTATTAAATCTAGATTAGCTTTACTTGTGCTGAATGTGGGATAGAATCTAGATCAAAGAGGATAGTTTCAATTTATTCACTGATATAAATATATGAAGGTTTACATCAAAGAATATATTTTTACTCAAAATTAAAGTTATCATACTGTAATATAAGATGTAAACACCAACTAAAAAACTAATAAAGTCCCATAAATCTTCTCTAGGTTTGCGATCGGCCTTTTAATTAATGCTTTTTAAAAAAAATATTTTTCAGATACTCTATAGCTGTAGGAAATGATCATGTTGAACCCGGCTTCCCATACATCAGCGATACGGGAACCAGATCCCCAGAAAGTTGTGTATTTGGTCAGTTGCTTAACATTGGTGCTGCTCTAGGTAAGATGGTTTTTATAATAAACCCAAGACACTTAATTAACGGCACGTGAGTAACACTATGAATCGTATTCGTTTAATTTTTCAAAAAACGACCAGATGAGTTGATCTATGCCATATAAGAAAAAAGGTTAATCTTACTATCAATTATCTACAACTGTTGCATACTGAACTGGTAAATACAGAACTTTCCAGATTCACAATGCGTTATTTTCAGTTAAATCTGTTTCTGATATAATTTATATCATTCTGACTAAGTTAAGATCTACTTATTCTGAAATCCATCTTATTTGTTTGCCTTCATTCAGAGTTTGTTTATCATAGCCAACCAATTAAACCGTCCGTTACAAATAGGCATCACAAAGTGTGAAGTGTGTCGTTTTAAGTGTAGTGATTACATCTGTAGTCATTTCCAACAGTCTTCCTGCTAGGTTTACCCTTAAACAGCGACGTGGTTGAGTGTCCGCCTTGTAATGAAGAGGTCCAGAGTTCAAAAATCCGGTCACCACCTGAGGATTTTTAAGGCTTACAATAAATATATCATAGGACACAAACTTTGAATGAACTTTCACATGTGTATTGGTGATTGTTTCAATCACTTCATATTTACTATTTTCGATCTAGGGAACACATAAAAGTCGTTTCATATATAGCTTACTAACAATAGATATTATGTTCATGAACAACGCCATGTTTGTTCCAGCGTAATATCTTGAAATCGTGATGATTACCCTCACGATATCGGTTTTCCAGCGTTTAAAAATAGAAACAGAATCGCTTTTAAAATGATGAAAACTCGTCGATGATTGGCTGTTTGAAAAGTCTCCAGAAGTGTCTTCATATTTGTTGATGGTCAGATCTTAATGCGGGCGTTATTTACAGCTGAATTAATATATATACATTTTGTCTGTAAAATTATCAAATATCAATTCATTATGTTATATTAATTGTTACAAGCAAACATTTTATTTCTGTTTCAATTTATTTTGTTTTGCAGCGGGAATCATCATTTATACAAGATATAGACAAAGTTTGTATCATTTTGAGGGAAGCGGCAGACGAGTTTTGCTCAATTTAAATACTGCTGCATTTATTATCGGAATGCTTACAATATTTGGTATAAGCTTAGTTGGAAATTTTCAGGTAGGCCTTCGTCTATTTATCAAACATTTTCCTACTTTTCCTCTCATTTTTTATTTCTTTGAAAAAAAATAAAGATATGATAGTATTGCCATTATTTTATTCAATAATACAGTAAAGTGTATAAATTTACTAAAAGATTATTAAACTGATTAATACGCCCCTGTTTTCTCGAATGCTAATGGGTACACAGTTCTTTAGAAATGTTAGTTTTACTGTTCTTTATTAATATGTGTACTTAGTATTACGTCATCTAGACAAAATCATATTTAATAATAATAGTCGTAAAGAAGAAATGACCATATCTGAAATTGTGAAATAAGTAACATAAATTATAAGAAACAGAATAAGAGAATAACAAAACATACTAAACAAGAATGGAATGCCTTTAAATATTTTCTTTAAAATGTCTTGATGATCTCTTATTTGTATCTCCTTTAACCAAAATTACATTTCAGGAAACGAATGTTTTAACTGTACATCTGATTGGTGCGTACCTGGCGTTCGCTGTAGGCTTTGTTTACATGGTGCTGCAGACGATAATTTCATACAAGTCTCTGTCTTTCAATACAGCCGGAAATACTCTTTTTATAACAAAGTTTAGGATATTACTATGTGTTGCAGACGTTATTTTACTTATTATGTGTATCCTTTGATTCACTATTTCATTTCAGACACAAATCAGTCATACGGTCCGTATAGTGTCATGTGGATTAAATGTTTCTGATTTAAAAATAATTTAAGCAACATAAGCACCAAATTTAACATATACACAGAAAAAATGCCGATATATAACTTCTATGTATAAATGATCTTATTATCTGTAAAAACAAAATATATGTAACGAAAAGCCATGTATTTTTTATCCACCCTCGTATTTAAATTTTATGCAAAACATATCACCTATCCTTACTGAGGGGCCTAGATTTTTTGTGAAGTAAGACATTTATTCAAAATCCTTCCGTCATGGTATTTCTAGAAGAAGAAAAAAAAAACAATTCAATGGAAATCTGTTTTTCTGAAATTGTTTAAGCCAATGATACACTCACGTGTCCTTAGGTACTACAATAACCTTAACTCGAGCCAGTGGGGATAGCAGCTAGAGTTGCACGGTCCAAGGGTCCCGGGCCAGGTAAATCTAAACAACACTGGTCCGACGACGAACCTGTAAGTTTTTCTTTCCAGGTTTGGGTATCAATATAAACACTTTATCTTTATATACATGTACATGTTAAAAAGTTCAATATCAACAATTTCTGAATCTGAACGATGATTTGAGCGTTAATTTATACATAAACACAGAACAGACCTCATTGCATGTATAGAAAGGTACATATTATTTACAATGAATTATATATATATACATTTCCCCAGGTAGTATGCTAGCATTCCAGTAATTGCACGTAACTATATGCCATTTTTATACACAAAAATTATTCCTAGTTCAACAAACTTATTTTCCTTTGTCTACGCTTTTTATATGTATTTTATAAGATTTGGAAATTTATAGTTTATGTTTAATAATCATAAAATGATATGGTAATAAAATATGACGATTTATAGTTATTGGTACTCGGGTTTATTTATGGCAGTCTTCAAACTATTATCTTAAGACGCTATATGTACATTGAAAAAACAATATTTATTACTTCTTTACTACAGTACAAATGTATTGAAGTCCTATTAAACTTCATGATAATCATAATTTTTTCATAATACATTATATTGCATTGCTGGTAGATACATTTTTTGAAATGTTTTATGTTGTAAGAGCATCATAAAATAAAATTTTGTATAAGTAGACTAGGAAAAATTTAGCTGTTAAGGCAAACATTTTTAGATTCAATTAGGCTACCTTAATGCTAGTTTTGTGGAAATAAATGCTAGATGCACCAAACCTTTCTTTTCTTTTTCCGTGTACCCTATTTTTCTATGATCTCATTTTGAATGCTAGAAGTATCTAAGTCGCACAAATATGTTTGTAATTCTCCCGTTCTGTCTATATTTCCTTCACTGATGCCTGCAGTATCCGTTATGACTCTTGTAGCAGGAGAGAAAGGCCCTGGACCAGGTATAGAAATATATGATTGGACGTCAGATCACCCGGTATGTATTATCTTATACCAATATTAGTTGGGGAAAAAAGACAAAAAGGGAGTGCGTTAACCCATTCATTGAATATGCTAATGATATGATTAATATTGAAAACAATCCGTAAAAATATACACAGTTTACCTACGATTACATGTTTGTCTTTCCTAGCTGCGTCCTTTACCAGTGTACTATCACGCGAGTCATGTTCTGGATTGTTTTCAATGTCTAAATGTGAATAAAAATAGATAGACATTATTCCGAATGAACATTTTTAGTCTGCAATTATTTTATGCCAAAAAGGATATTGTTTATAAATTCGTAAATTATAGAAGCTTTTTTAAATTTAAAGCTTTGCTTATGCCAGTGATGTTGCATTGTAGATGTACACAGCAAAGTACACTGTACTATAAAAAACGGAATACTTTGACTATCTAATGACAATCTTTGAAGTTCTTTTCCTATTTTGAAAACACGTATATAAATATGAAATACCTAACATTAAAAGTGTGAACAACAAAAATGCATTCCGGTGCTCATTTATATAATATATAACCTTATCCTAACTCTGTTAACTATATATGTAAAACATTGTTAATTTGCATGATACTATTAAAACTATCGTATTTTAACTCGTATACTTTCGTTCTTTAACAAATATATTTTTTTCTTCTACATGTAACTCGAAAAGAATATCCATGTGTATCATTATAATACTATAGTTAAAGATGTTATATTGAAATACCAATACTTTCAGTAAAGTTTTCTTTTTCTTTTGTATTTGATATTCATTCAAGTGTAAAAGGATTGTGTTAGCTACTTTTTTGTTGAAAACCTCGTGGCAAAGAAAATGTGAGGCAGCCAAATACAATTCGGATAATTTGTCAAATTTTATATGTTGAAACTTTGAAAACTCTTTCCAGGGCTATGCAGAACATTTGGTGGCGACGATTTCAGAATGGCTGGTCGCATTTATCACCGTGATATATTTTGCCACGTTTTACAAAGAGTTCAAACATTTCCGAATGAAGGCACCGGAAGTCGTTTATTATGAACCACAACAACAACAAGAGCAAGGAGCAAATATTTCTGTAATAAGTTGACAAAAACAGACAAACTTTCAAACAAAAACATGATCTTACAAAATACGTATTTCAAGCTGAATATTCTGTGAGCAGCATAATGTTAAAGTTCATTCATTCTGTCAATACATTTCGTCATTACATCGCCGGACAAATATTTTACTTGTCTAGTCCTTAACATCATATATATAGATCAAATTGTACAATTATGATAAATCATTTATAATGCATGCACGATCTTCTGTGATACTGTTTTGTATTAAATTGTTACTGTACTCTACAAAGTTGTTCATTTATTTTCGGATCCACCAGGCGAAACGACAAGAATTTACACTTACAATCATTCGTTTTATTCCACAGGGGCTACTAACTAAAGGAACATTGCTTCTTATTTTTTGTTATACTCATTATTGTCCGGGAAAATTTTACATTTCTTTAGTTTCATAAAGGTTTTTTTTTCAGAAAAAAAGCTTTGTGCTTTCTCTAATATACTTGTAAATCGTTGGACTTTGCTAATCTTAATTGTCTAGATATATATAAACAGATAAAAGTGTAAAACAAGATGTGTTTGACTTGTGTACATGAGTATTGACTATAAATATAACAGTTTCTATCTGCTTTTTTCTGGTGACCTTTAAGTGAACATACATGCAAAAAACAGTAGTTTCGTGTGTAACATTGGTCTTTACGTGCATAATCAAAGCCTTTTTCTTGAAAGTAAGTTTTTCATCCAGTTGCTTATTTGTTATGACCCTTTTTAACTAGCCTTTTTCCCTGCATTCTTTGTTTTTATCCAAAATTGATACCCTTTGTAGCTACAGTGAACAGAGGGTAACTCTCACAATGTCACCATATTGCGTGTTCATATATCTTAAAACTGCGTAATTATACACGGTTTCAGTTGCATCTTGGTGATGTGTTCCCCATATTTGGTCACCATGCAAAAGTATAGGCATTAACACTGAAACAAACATGTCGTGATAATGGACCATACACATTCATACTATTTTTGTCAACACTGCGAGTTTCATTGTAAAAGTTGAAACCAACATACGGACATATTACAGTTTCAGTTGATTTTATTTATGAATCATTTTTTAATGTTTTGCCATTTTCCCACCGTTTTGGAATAACAGTATATCTATTTTTTGTAATCTTAATATTACATTTGGAATGTTGTTATTCTGTACAAATAAAAATATCACTTATTAAACAACGAATTGAACTATTTTAAACTTTGATTGTGAACTGTAAACGGATGAGTCGTGCTTGTACGCTTCTTTACAATGCTTAAATTTTGTGATTTTGCACCAGTGAAAAAGTTTGTCTCATTTTATAAACAAAATCGACCCTTTTCAGTTTACACATACAATTATTTCTATCTATAAATATGTATCTATTATTAAATATGAAAGTATATTGAAGAGCAATGAATGTGCGAACAAATTGGTATCCTGGTTAGCTTTTAATTGTTTTGTTTCTTATAACAAAAATACTTTACTAATGCTCTACATATACTAGTAGTGCAGATGAAATCAAATTTAACACAATATATGTTATAATTGCTTATTTCCTGTTTGTCTATCAATACTCAAACATTGTTTTGAAAGGTCACGAATATGTGAATTAAAGTACTTTTGTGGTTAAATATATGGTATCGATACTATATCAAGTAATATTATAAACATTTCCAAAATATGACCTACTAAACGGGACAAAGGGAAGAACGTCTTACACATATTATAAAAAAAAATGTACATATATTATGAAATATTAAATTAGTATTATTTAATGTATATATCTTGTTAGATATCTGTTTTTTTTCTACATCTCTTGTTTTAATCTTCACTGACTCTGTCTATCTCTATGAGTATAAGACTGAGCACCTTTAAACAATTTGTAGAAGACTAAGATTACTGGTAAGTTATTCCCTGCGGTCTGAAGACCGCAGTGTATTGGTACGCGTTTAACTTTTGAGGCATGGAGGAGCACGTGACCTGTTTTCGGTACATGAAGGAGCATGTGATCTGTAACCCGTACATGATTGGTTAATTGACCTTTTCGAAAACCTAGCTAAATACCGTTTGCCGGTACGTTACGGATTTACCTCTAGAGAATTAGTCCGAATTACACCTATTTAACTACAAAAAACTATTACCCATCGACAAAGACTCAACACCGATTAAAGTTTTACTAAATTTATTTTATTAAGTTTTTGGCGTAAACATTGTCATAGCTGAGTATCATATTAAAAGATGAAAATTTGAAATGCTAATTGAATAATTTATTATCTTTATGTAGTATATTTTGCGTTTTCGCTCCGATTACGGCAGCAAAAATCTGAAATTCATGCTATAAAAATGCAACAAGTTACACTGATAGCAACAACTTGAAAAACGCGGCAGACTTAAAAAGCTATTTGCCCAGGTGACTGTAGCAAAATTAGAGTCTTTGAACACTTTTAAAGAATTTTAAGTATCTTCTCGTTGTCCATTTGCATTATATATCATTGCACACGTGCTGGACTGGTCTCCTTGTCTGCCTTTATACTCGCTATGACGATCGTCTGCTAAACTCTATCTGAAATTATACAACAAAATACGGACAGCAAAAAAAAATATCTGAGGTGGGAGGGTGGGTTAAAAGCATTTTAATTATGTAAAAATATTTAAACTTTAAGTTTTAAACATAGCGTCAGTACAACTACCTTCTTCGTTGGCTTCCAGATTGCAAAGAAAGAACAACGATCGGTGCTGCGCTTTTCTAAGAAAAGTAGTACTTAATGTATCCCTCCGCTTCATGTATACCATATTTGTACATGTATCTGATCCTTGCGATGTGTAATAAGGTTAATAATATAGGTTATTAACCTGAATAAATTACCCATCGACAAAGACTCAACACCGATTAAAGTTTTACTAAATTTATTTTATTAAGTTTTTGGCGTAAACATTGTCATAGCTGAGTATCATATTCAAAGATAAAAATTTGAAATGCTAATTGAATAATTTATTATCTTTATGTAATATATTTTGCGTTTTTGCTCCGATTACGGCAGCAAAAATCTGAAATTCATGCTATAAAAATGCCAAAAAGGGTCTCTTACGACCTTTCCGCCAAAGCGGTATAGGATGAATTTTCAGCTATGACAATGTTCGCGCAAAGATGTCGTACATATGATATATGCTGTAAATAAAAAAAAACCAACAACATCTGTGCTATGTTATGCACTAATTATGAGACAGGATATGTAGAATTTCCTAAACATTTGAATGAATATATTGCTGACCCAATTGTATTTAGCATGATGTCATAACCTAAAGAGCTAAGGTGCGTGCCGTCAGAAAAAAACCTAGGGTCTTCGGTAATGTTTGGATATTAATGTAACCCCCACCTTTCCTAACAGTATAAGCTCCAATACAACTGTTCACCCTTTTTCTGATTCGATTAGCTATTTCCCGATGATTTGCATAGTAACGCCATGTTAAACGTGGTAAAATTTGAGAATATATCATTCTACAGTTTGGCAACTTTTGTTGGATACTTTCAATGTCACCGTTAAGGTCGTAGTCGTCATTACCGTCATAAATACATTTTTTAAGTTTCCAACTGAGTTCTAGACCAGGTCTATCTTGGCACCTTATGTCATTTCCCCCACAATGAATGATCAGCATATCAGGCTTCGGATTAAACTGAAGATGGTAACTTATCGTTTCCTTTAAATGGTGTACCCTCATCCCGCTCATACCTAACCATGTAACCTTCACCCCTAAATTCTCCATCCCAATGTTATGTCCGTCAGGGCGTTCCGAGGCCCGATTCGATGCCCCAGTGACCAGCGACGAACCACACACCCATACATGAAATATGTTGTCATAGGTGTAACCTGAAATCACACCATTGATATAGATGAATTCCCTTGGACTGTAAAGCTGAATGATTAAAAGCATTTAAATTCTTAACTACTGTGAGAAAACGGTTGTATCCATGTTTCTTGTACAGGAATATTTATCGGTATTATTAAATGTGAAATATAAACTAACCGACTAAAAGGTTACTTCCAAATTGGATAACAATGAATTAGTCTAAAATCTTGCCTATATACTTTTAATATAATATCGGGAACAGACAGTAAGTAAATTAATAGCTAAGAAATGCAATCATATTCCATTAAGATTTTAAAAATTGCGAAATTGACTCAGTAACGAAGCCAAAACCGCTGGACATCACTTTATTGCAAACCATAACAAGGTCATTTGGCAGATCCTTTAGACACGAACAAATAAACAAACAAACTTGGTAACATCATGTACCAACGTATATACAGATCATAATATCTTATATCTATATTTATCTTTGTTTCAGTTAATGTATATTATTCTTATATATATACTTTTTTGATAATTGTATTCAATTTAAACATTTATATACATATTAGAAAACTTATGATATGTGCATGCAAGTGACAGAGCACGATGGAGGTACAGTTAAACCTTTTTTATAAATCAGTCAATAAGAATGGTGGGATAAATAATTTAAAAAAAATAACTTAAAAAAAATATCAAAATAAAACCCACACTGATATAACACATAAATCAGAATTTACAAAGCATTTGCGACAGCATGGATTAACGGATATATGTTTTATAAGCACCTGAACGCCATCTACCTCTTATTTTGATTTCACTGATTGAACACCCGTCTTTAAACATTTTTGAGGCCCCGCCAATCCTGAAGGAATGCGACTTTAGAGTCTTTGTACCAAGACCGATAAAACTCAAGGTCTTTCTTAATACTGCATTGAACTGAAAACTGGTTAATGGGGAACCATCAAAATGACAGAACAGTGGACCCCCATGAGTCGGACGGTAATATATATATGACCTTATATGCTTTACACAGAATCTATTCTGGGGATCTATTGGAATAACGACAGAACAACCATTACACCTTTGATCAGTTTTTGAGGATTTTATTATCAACCGTAAACAAGTATCCGAGATTGTTACATCCTCGAACTGAAGCACCGGCTTTTTTGATCTCTTGCCTGGGAGAGTAAACTCACTTACTCTGAGCAGCGCTATAAATGCTAATGAATATGCTGCTGCAAATAATAGAGACTCAAACTTTGACCTACAAATTAATGGTAATGATTGAATGATTTTCTCAAGAATATCGTGTGTGACTGGGTCTCTTGTATCGTTTTTTCTTTTAACTCGTCGCAAACCTTCGACCATTTTTCTAACGATAAATTGTTTTGTATTGTCAACAGAACCACTCAATTTGTTGATATAACTAATAGCCGATAAGTGGATATTCACATGTGAGTACGAAAATTGTTTTAAAGACATGAATGCTACATATTGACATATTACGTCAACGTTTGGAGGCCAAATGTTTTTAAAACCAACATTTTTGCAAAAAGCTTCAAACGCCGATACGGCTGAATGGTAAGACTTGCGAGTGCTGTCTGCCAAAGATGCATATATAAGCCTATCTACTTCATGTTCAAGCGCAATATCTGAAGGAAAGAGTCCGGGATCGAGCATGGCGTCCTTGACGCGGAGTCCGGCAGAAGTCTGTGAAGTCTTTGCCACTGAAAACGACTAATAGCGTCACAAATTTTGTTACGTTTACCATGAATGTGCTTTGCTTTTACTTGAATATTTCTCTTGAGAGTTACCAAGACTAAAGAACGTATGAGTACCATTACATTCTTGTTCCTTGATGACTTTTTATTCAGAATATCAACCAGGGCAGCGTTATCAGTCCTTAATATTATCTTTTTCCTTTCTAGAAACCGACCCCAGATATGTAACGCTAGAAGGATTGGAATAAGTTCTAAATATATAATGTCTTTAAATATGTTTTCCTCCCAGGTCTGGGGCCATTTAAATACAGACCATGAACCATTGAAATAACAACCGCATCCCATATTTCTGTTTCCAGCAGCGTCCGTATATAACTCAAGAACGCCATTTTCAAACCATTCGGACTCATTAAATATTCGTGTACCATTAAACTCTTCAAGAAATTGTAACCAAGTATAAGCGTCGTCTCTCATATCCTTAGAGACCCTAACAAAGTGAAATGATTTTTTTACTTTCGACATTCTATCATAGAACCTTCGAATAAATGCTCTCCCTGACGGTAACGCTTTAGCTAAAAAGTTTAACAAACCGGTAAGCGCTTGCAGCTGTTGAAGGGTAACCTTTTTACTTTCAATCAAAGATAATAATGCCGATTTTGCTTTATAAATTTTTTCCTGCGGAACGCGTATCATTTGTTCGCACGCGTCAATCTCAAGACCCAAATACGTAATAATTTTTACTGGACCCTCCCATTTGTCTTTGCTTAATGGAACATTAAGACGTGCACATACTTCTAAAAAATTTAACATGAGAAACTGACAGTTATCGAACGAATTATGCATCATAATGAAATCATCTAAAAGATGATCATAATAATCAGACTTTGCTTCCTTTTTGACCAACCACTCAATAAAAGTTGAAAATTTTTCGAAAATGAAACAGGAACAAGACGCTCCCATTGGTAATGTCTTTTGTATCCAATACCCTTCATCTGATTTAATGCCTAGCAAATCAAAATCACCTGGCCAAATTGGGCACAAATTAAATGCTGACGAAATATCGGCTTTCGCCATAAATGCGCATTTTCCAAGTTTTTGAACCATATTTACTGCATTATCAAACGAAGAATATGTCACGTGCTTATAATCTGGGTCAATGTAATCATTTACGCTGATACCAGCCGGAAACGACAAATTTGTAATCAGACGAAATCCACCTGTCCGCTTTGGGACGAGACCGACAGGATTTATCCTAAGATTAGGTAAAGGGGATATCGTAAAAGGACCTGTGATTCTACCAAGTTTGCGATATTCGTGAAGTTTAAGTTTTAACATCGTCTGATCACGTTTAACTGAAGTTAAGTTTGTTGAGAATATAGGAATCCTGGGACCTGTATAATACAATTTAAAACCATATTGAAAACCATCCAGAAGGAAACTAGCATCAGACGGATTAGGATATTTTGCAAGTTCGTGCTTTACATTCTTAACGTTGATTGGGGTTTGGCCTAGGTCCCATAAACCTTCCAGGGCCTTGGTTTCCCGGTATAATGTGTCTTGGTGATAACTGGCTCCTGAAATGAACACCAGATATGTGTGTCCTGACTGGACGATAAGGGGCACCCGAAAAGTTAACAGGGTTATGGAACCTTTGCAACGGTAAACCGCTGCTTTGCAACGGTAAACCGCTGAACTGACGGCACGTTATCATGGCGTGCATGCCTTGACACCTTAAGCAGGTATGGCTATATTGACATTTAGGTCTTGTGCAAGTTCCAAAATTATTGTACTGAAAACACTTTTTTGCATTTACATTATTGTCGTTACTACTATATTGTAGAGGTTTCATGGATATGAGCCAAAGCTCCGGTCTAAGGAATGCCAGCCAATACCATCATGTATAGATTTCTTTTAAACGAAATTGTCTGTCGTAGTTTGCCCAACCGTCGTGTCTTGTTGCAGCAAGCCTTATATTGGCTAAATACTGCAAAAGGTTATGCATTTCATTAGGAAATTTCTGAGTATATATGTAAATAAAAATAATAAAGGCATCCGACCAAGATTCGATCTTTTCTAGTGTCTTATCGGAGTGTTTACTTTTCTCCGAGATGATTATTTCACCATTGACTACATGTAATTTCTGTTCTGATTTTATATTATTTTGCAGCAGGTCATGAAGCTCAATGAATTGATTATTCCATATTTTTCCTTTTATACTTTCTTTAACGTTAGCGGCTAACATATTAGTACCACAAGATTTGACAATGTTTGAAGGAAAATCAACAGTATTACCATTATCATGCTGCTGTTGGTCTTCCAATACCGATGCCCGACTTTTGTTTTCCACCTCCGGTATAACTGACTGTGATTGTGTAGCGACTATATCCGGTCTGCCAAGTGGCCTCTGGGTGTGCAACCGTGCACTCCGAACAGCCTTTACTTGTGCTGGCAATGAATTTGCTTTTCGTTTCGGCATTTTGACTCAGTACGAAATCGATATGAAAGAAAGAAAGAAAAATAAATATAAAGTGTACGTGCTCTGACGTCAGAAATCAACAGTCACTATGACGTCATTAAACATTAATATTTCAGACAGTCAACCGTAAAACTTATCAATCACAATTTTAATTAATAAATTTAACAAAGATTAAACAAATTAATCTACAGTAATCTTCCTTTTGTATTTTAAGATTCTGAAAAAAATATATATATTATCTACCCATTTAACACGAAAATCGCTCGGGGTCAGTCAGGCCACGTGGCGTTTAAAATATTTTTTTATAAAAACACATAAATAGCCAATTTAGAAATATATTTCCTTTCTAAAATAGAAATAGTCTAGGTTTTAATAATGTACATGCTCTTAAAATTGTCTTAAAAGCATGTTTATTATGTAAAAATATTTAAACTTTAAGTTTTAAACATAGCGTCAGTACAACTACCTTCTTCGTTGGCTTCCATTTTTTTTTTTTAAGTTTTACTAAATTTATTTTATTAAGTTTTTTGACCTTTTCGAAAACCTAGCTAAATACCGTTTGCCGGTACGTTACGGATTTACCTCTAGAGAATTAGTCCGAATTACACGTATTTAACTACAAAAAACTATTATGTGATATTTCTAATTTTCTATAATTATTTTACCGTTTAAGGCGGAAAAACTTGAATGATGTGTTTGAAAATTATCAATGTTTCTTTAATATCTATCTCAAATGTTATAAACAATAAATTGTTTTATACTGAAAATCTACAAAATTAAAATATTAGTCTAAATAGAGATATTTTCTGCGTAAACTTGTGTGTTTACTTTATTTTTTTGCTCGGAATTATTCAGAAAATGGTATTTAATTATTTTCTTAAAAAGAAATAATTGTTTTATGTTCGACATTCTCCGGTCTCAGGTCTTCAACGGTCACCGGTTTCCAAAGACCTTTTTCTATATTGATCGATTATTGTCAACTTTATTCCTGGTACAAACGTTTATTTATCCCCCAAACAATGTTGAAAATAGTTAAATAAAATATCTTTATATCATTAAAAATGTTCCCCACAGGAAACCATTTTACTTGTTTTACCTCTTGGGTAGGTATTAAGTGTAAATTGACGCTGCAAATGCTATGTTATTTTCCAACATTATTGGTTAATTCGTCCATAGAACCAATGCTTATAACACTATCACTGGCTCCGAGAAATAAAATTTGCAGATGTGCTTAGCTTTATATTCTACATTTCTGTAAGTTCATGTGCTGGTGAAAGACACAAGTAAAACAATGTTGGCTTTCAACTCTTAATTATGCCTGTCCTATAGGTGAATATGAATAATGTATCAAATGTTTTTCTGTCAAAATGACAAAATGCATATCATTGTATATTTTGTCTCCCAGCAACAAAACGGTGTACATGTATATATTTCTATGTTTAAGAACACAATGCATCACATTATGTTTATAGCCTATCCAAGCAACGAAACAATGCTTGTCCTATATTTTCTCCTATAATAACACAATGCCTATTATGATACATCAGTGGGTGTTTTCTCTCCAAGCAACACAGCAATGTATATTATCGTGTATCTTTTTCGCTCCAAACAACAAAACAATACAAAACATAACGAATTTTCTTTCTCACAGCAACAAAAAATGCATATTTTTGTGTTTTGTTTCCATTTTATAAGCAATAATGCATTCATTTGTATTGTGTTTACTCCCTGAAAAAGAACACTATGTATCACAAACCATGTGTTTTTTCTTCCAATTTCAACACAATGCATATTTGTATCGTTTAATCTCTAAAATAATAACATAATGCATATTTCGTGGGTTATTTACCAACAACACAATGCATATGCATTTTTTTATCTCCCTTAAATAATTAGCAAATGTAAACAAAGAAGTGCTTTTACTCTCATTTAAAATTCTAAATCACTATAACTGTTCTAATTGCCAAATGGCAACAGTTCAGATAGTTTGCCAATTAGTAACATTTTGAAAACTATAACTGGACATCAAAAATAAAAATAAGTATTTGAGATATAAAAATAAATGCATTTCTAGGACACAGTGGGCCTTCAATAACTATGATTTTGTTGCAGATTTCAAGTTCACCACACATGATTTCACCATCACGCTGGTTCCTTACACTACATATAAATGAAGACAATTTTAAACTATCATTGTGCAGAAAAATATTGCACAATATCAGAATCAAGATTAGTTGTCCTTTTAAGTTATAATAAACCATTAGTAAAATCATCAATGTAGTTGATATTAACTGTGCAAATATTTAACGAATCAATACGATAGTTTACTTAATAATTTTGAAATTATAGAGGTAGATAATCTTCTGTCAGATGGTCATTGCATGGTAGAATTTTATTTGAAAATAGGGAACTTACAACAAGAAAGTTCCAGTTCAAGAACATTTATTAATAAAAAAGCAAATATGGGAAAACAACAAAAGTAGCATATTCGAAAATAACATAGATACTGAAACTATACACACTATTATAAATGACATAGAACAAAATAAGGATACATTAAGTCAAACTCAAATGGACAATACTTTCTCAAACATGGCTGAAATCTATCTTGTGAGTGCCCAACTTAAGCTTTATAAGTAAAAATAGTATAAATAATACCGCAAAAAAGAAATCAAACTACAAGCCCTGGTTTTCAGTGACTGTAAAAAGGCAAAAAAGTCTTATACAAAAGCAAGAAAAAAATATTGTAAAAATCCTACAGAATACAATAGAACAACCTATATTTCCTTATGTAAGCAGTATAAGAAAACAATGAATAAATATATAAATAAGTATAACAAAATTAATGAAGATAAATTCTGGAAACTTGAAAAAAATCAACCTAAAGAGTACTGGAAACTATTAAATGAATTAGGGAAAAAAACAACACAGGAGAAACCTACAAAGGAGTCACTGTACAATTTCTTTAAAGATATAAATAATAACCCAGAACATGATCAAAATGATTCAGATATATATGAAAACATAGATTTGACAAATAATAATCACATATTAAACACTACAATAACTGCAGATGAAATAATGAAAGCAATAAATTCATTAAACAATAATAAAGCCAGTGGAAATGATAACATAATAAATGAATATATAAAATACAGTAAGAATAAAATGATTCCTTTTTATGTGTCCTTTTTCAAATGTAATTCTAGAAACCGGTTTAATACCATCTAAATGGTCAGAAGGGGTTATTATACCAATATACAAAAATAAAGCAGCTCAACTAGTCCAGAGATCTATAGACCTATAACACTTTTGTCTTGTGTTAGTAAGTTATTAACAGCTGTACTAAATACCCGTTTAAATAAGTTTCTTGAGGAAAATGAAATTCTATTAGAAAATCAGGCAGGATTTCAGAAAAGCATACGCAACATTTGACCATGTCTTTCACTTTCTCTAATTGAAATACTGAGATATCACAAAAGAAAATTTATTGTATCTTTATTGATTTTGCACAGGCGTTTGATTCTTTATGGCGTGTAGGACTTTGGCAAAAAAATCTTGAATATGATATAAATGGCAAGTTTCTTCCGACTGATTAAAAATTTGTACCAAAATGTAAAATCGTGCATCTCCCTAAATGGTGAAAACAGTAATTTCTTTTCATGTAATTGTGGGGGTCCGTCAAGGGGAAAATCTTTCACCGGTTTTATTCAGCCTATTTCTTAATTAATGACTTAGAACAAATTCTTGCAGAAAAAAGGTCACACGGAGTGAAATTCATCGATATAGAACCACAACATAGATACTTTTAAAAAAAATATTGATACTTTTATATGCAGATGACACAATCTTAGTAAGTGATGATCCAAAAAAACTACAAAATTGCCAAATGATTTTCGCCGAATACTGTAGAACCTGGAAATTTAAAAATTAATGTTAGTAAAAACTAAAGCAAATGGTATTTTGGATCACATAATGACAGGAACTTATCTTTTAAAATAAATGAAGCACCATTGAAATAGTATCCTCATACAAATATCTAGGTGTATATTTCTCAAAGAGCGGAAGCTTTTTCTAAATGCTAGAAAAACATCTGGCTGCACAAGCAAAAAAACGCCATGAACTTATTATATAAAAGAATAAATAATTTACTTCTTCCTATTGACTTAGCCATTAAACTGTTTGATCATACTATTATCCCATTCTTCTGTTCTCTGCAGAAATAATGGGGCTATGAAAAACTATCAAATGTTAGAGAGAATACATTCAGAATTCCTGAGAAAACTAACTCACTTAAGACGTTCAACACCACTATATATGTTATATGCCCGAACTTGGCAGGTACCCCTTGAATATTAACATAAAGACTAGAATGATTAATTACTGGAATAGACTAGTTACTGGAAACAAAATAAACTATCATATCAGATATATAAATATATGCTTGAAATGCCAAATTTTGAATCAAAATGGATAAAAGGAATAAAAAACATTTTAAATGAAATAGGGCGAAATGATATTTTTGAACAATCAAAATAACCTCCAAAGTCAAAATTTGGGAAAAAACAGTAAAACAAATATTATTGGACCAAGCATTATCAAAAACTGCATGCTTCTATGCAAGTCTCAACTAAAGGACTAAATTATTCAATTTTCAAAGAGTCAATTAAAAACCTTGAGGGCTATTTACTTAATCAAAAAAAGTCTGACTGGCTGTCTTTAATTAAATTTAGATGCGCAATCATTACTTCCCATGTGAAACTGGAAGGTGGCAAAATATAGACTATAATGAAAGAATATGTCAACTGTGTTTAAATGAGAATAGTACCCCAGAAATAGGAGATGAGTTTCACTATTTATTGACCTGTCCCTTTTTTAATCAGACTAGAAAATTATATATAAAACCTTATTATTTAAGAAGATGTTAATACTCTTAAATTTAAAGAGCTACTTAATACACAGTCAAAAAAAGCTATGTAACATTTATTAAAATTATTTTAGAAACGGTTAAACAGTAAGAATCACATGAATATTTTCTCTGTAAAAATGGTAATACTGTCATAGGATCTGTACACCAATACTATTAATGTTTTATTTATTGATATTCCATTTGCTTTTCCTCGAAACTGCTGTCAGTATAGTTCACCAGTTTTTATATACAAATATTACAATCTTTTTTCATTTTTTTTTTTTTTTTGTAATTAATGCAAACTGTCACTTCATTGTTACAGATTAACTCATATGGTCATTTTCTATTCTATTTTTTCATAGGTCAAGCTTTTTTCCTTGACTTTTATAGTTCTAGTTTTATAGTCTTGAGTCATGCTGAATATAGGTCAGGTTTTGTTTTGTTTGTTTTTTTTTGGTTTTTCATTAGATCTAGCACACTTTTTTTTCCTTATGTTGAATATAGGCCATGCTTTTTTTCATTAATATTTTACACCTGTCAATATGCCTATATAGATGTAGTTTATCAGCTGTATACAATCAAATTAATCCTTTTCCACGAGTATACAATAACTATGCACATTCTTATTTAATTGATGTTTACATGTTCTACTTCTGTGAAGACACGTAACATTATCATCTCAGTCTTCTGCTAAATTTGCTAAACTGATACTTTTATGATCGAATGGTGAATACTCCAGATGCTTCGAAACATTTTATATCCATCTTTCGAATATTAAAACTAATCATTCGTTGATAATCGTCTATTAAGGTGATTCCGCTTTGTCAGCCATATTTGTTTTCACTTAAGTCTGTCCAAAGTGAAAGTAGGCCAAAATTCATATAACAACAAAGCTCTTATTGTAAAATGATGAACCATTTGAAAGTACACTTCCAGGTTTATATTTTAAGGACAATTATAAACAAAAATAAAAATGATAACAATAAGAATATTTAGCTTGAATGTGCCACATTTCTGAAGACCAAAAACATTTTGTTGCAAAGTTTTATACACATTTCATGAATGGCAAAATCCTTTTTTAAAGTCTGTTTTAGTGCCTAACAAAAGCTATTTTTTGCAGCAAAACAAAAATCTTTCAAAAACTTAACTCCAAATAAATCTGTATCTCATGTCCTTCTAAGCACATGGCCTCCATTATTTTTGTAAAAAAGTAGTGCAAGAAAACAATCATCATTTATAGCCTTATGAATTACAATTTTAAAATAAAAATCAACAATCAAACTTTTAAAAATCTAACCTTTTTTATGTAACAGTGAAGTGTGTCTGTTTTCATGTACACAAGTAATAGGTAAATGATGTTATTTTCATGTACTACTTTTTTTACCCATGTCATGTGGTCATGTTTTTTTTTCAAGGTCAGATAAACTACTTTCCTAAGATTTATGTTTTTTAAAGTTTTTTTATTTATGCAAAAAAATAGCTTTTGGTAGCAACTAAAACAGACTTTAAAAAGGATTTTTTTGCATTCATAAATGGCATAAAACTTTGCAACAGAATGTTTTTTGGTCTTCAGAAATTTTAGCCCATTTCAAGGTAAATTTTTCTGATTGTTTTCATTTTTATTTTTTAATTTAAATAGTCTTTAAAACATGGAACTGGAAGTGTACTTGCAAATGGCTCATCATATACAATGTTAGCTTTGTTGTTATATGAATTTTGGCCTACTTTCACTTTGGACAGACTTTGTGAAAACAAACATGGCTGACAAAGCGGAATCACCTTAATTAATATATCTTACTTAACACATTTTACGCGAAGTTAAAAAATACCTGGTAAGGCTTTACACAGCGGACGATTACACTACCTTTTGGGTATAGCGCGGTTTCGATGCAGCGATTTAATTAAGGCTGCACAAATACAATAAGAATAAACTCTGTTTCTTTGAAGAAAAGCAAGAAAAAATGGTGTTATCGTCTTCAAAAGTCACATAACTATTAACATCGTAGATTATTAAATTAGTTTCAGCCACCCAATATCCGAAAATGGAACATTCTCAGACAAAAATTTATAGTCCTTTTCAAAAAATAAATGGAATAATACACTATTACTATTGTCAAACCCGTTAAGCAAACAATCTGTCACGTGACATCACAAGGTATTTTTGTTCAAATGTATTATTCGCTGTATGCTCACATGCTTGTTATCATTGCTTGAGCTAAATAAAGTTTATGTTGTTGTTGTTGTTGTTGTTAGTGATCGGACAAAATATTGGGCTTAAGCCTGTGTCTAAACTGAACACAAAACTTTGATTGAAATTTTAATCAATCGTGTCATTACCTTTTCGCTTGATTTCTATTTCAGAGCAATTTAGCTTAATCTTCTTTTAATTATTGTTATTTTCTTTTCTGTGTATGTCTAAATTTAGGTCTTAAATTTAACCACTTTATGCTAAGTCGGAAGTTTTTGCCAGTACAATAAGTAATGTCAACGATAGAAGGACGGTGTTTGATTGTTGCGACATACTAAGAGGAAATAAATATATAAACAGTATAGTGGTGAAAATGTAAGTACTTTACTAAATATATCTATTGATTTTTAAAATTGGTTCAAGTGACAAAATTGTGCATTCTTTATTATACTACCTGCCTAATAAATTCTAACGTTGTTATATAAAACCTATTATCAATATATTACTGGATGTTTTTGGAAATATTTAACGGTATGTTCATTTTTTTATGTTTTCGTCATATTTAAGAAATATGTAAATTGAAAATATATATGGAAATTATATAGCTACATACCGACACATATACATGTATTTTAGCCTATAAATCATTAAATATAGATAAATTCCAAGAGAAACGGACAAATAATGAAATCAAAATTATTATAAAAATCCGAAATTATCGATATTATTTAATTGATGATTTACCAGAGGTAGGAGGGTATTGATATACAATAGGTAAATACTGTTCTGCTTTCGTTTCTGGAGTGTTATAATAACGATTCCATCTTAATACTTAGTATAAACAATAACCTACGGGAACAATTAGTAAATTATAAGCTGTAACACAGAAAACAAACTTCACTTGTCAGTATATATAATATAATAGAAATATTTGTTTCTTATCATGTTCGTTATTGAAACATGTATGAAAAAATGAGCATTAACTCACCAGTAATAAAACTAACGCTCCAATGTAGTATATTACAAGGTTAGCTTTTAAAAAAGCTAGTAGCGACTCGCTTCGTGTGTTTAAATGTGAAAATGACAGTTCTGTTAGCTGAAGAGACTTCAGCGAACATCAAAATAAAAGTGCAGTCAACACTGGCCCGGTGCCAGTGTAAATAAGTTCAGGCCAGTGTAAATTTAAGAAAATTTTGTTAATTATTTAGTAGAATAAATTCAAAACTGGAATTCGGGCCGGTAAATTCAAAATCTAAAACTCATTGACTGAAAGTGACTATATTATATAAAGTTCTCTCAGTTTAACCAAGATGAGTATGAGTATATATGAAGATGCATGTAAACAGATAGAATGAAGTCCCTATGTCTATGCACATTTACCATATGGCCTGTTGACCTTGACCACAAAATGTTAGATAGGTAGATTTCATAAAGATGTCTCTTTATACAAAATTAAGTTGTAATATGTTATTTAGTATTGGAATGAGAGGCACAAGTCCTAAAGTAAACACAAGTTGTCAATCAATTCAGCCACAAAAGCCGGGAACCTATTAAAAAATATAGGGATCCCGGAAATTGACCAGTCTAAGAAAATGTTTTTCAGATAAGCCGGAATCCTATTAAAACATATAGGGATCCCGGGAATTGACCAGTTCAAGAATATAGTTTTCAGAAAAGCTGGGATCGTATTAAAATGTAAATAGATCTCACGGATTGGCCACTTCAAGTATATAGTTTTCAGAGAAGCTGGGATCGTATTAAAACATATAGGGATCCCGGGATTTGACCAATTCAAGAATATAGTCTTTGATCTTTCCAATTAATTAGGCATATAATTATAAGTATTGTGATTTCCGCATTTTAAGTTTGTTAATAAATAGCTCTAAATATATCTATATTCTAAGTTAAATTAATTTAACGTTCATTATATACAATAAAAAAAAATTAACGTTTAATGGCCTTTCATTACGACAACAATCAACACAAATATAGTTCATTAGGTTTTTCCTCAATATCTTATACGATCCCGGATTCCGGGCGTCCCGGATCCCGGCTAGTTAATACATACACTGAATACCGGAAAGGATAAAATGACCGGAAAAAAGGACAAAATAAAAAATGCACAGAACCAGTTGTACACTTCTGTTAATTAACCAAACGAAAACTTACTACAGAGAAAACAGGTGAAATCGCTAAATCAAAAGTCAGTGTAAATATGATTTATTGAAAAGAATTAATAAAGACAAACATTTTAATCATCATTATATCTTTGCGCTCAAAACAATACTTGCTGATTTTTAAAAATGGCGTGAAAATTAAAGGTTTTTTGACGCTATGTAAGATTAAATTTGATTGGCTAAATAATTTTGGATCCTAGCCCTGATAGATAAATTTTGTAGAAAGCTGGAAGCCAAGCTTCGATTAAATTTTTGATGGCTTCGGAGTTTTAGGTTGTTTCTCAGTAAAATCCTAACGTAATACCGGCTCGCCGTGGCGAGCCGGCATAAAGGGTACAATGCACATAAATAACAAAATACACTGCATCATAGGTTATAACCAAGCCCTAACAGGGCTATATGTTATGTAAGTTTAGTTTATTACAACTATATTTTAGTTCGATTGTGTTGGAAGCTGTAAGCTTATTGAAACACCTGGAACCGACCAGTACTTGACAGTGAGTGTAAAGTATCTTGCTCACGGAAACAACGGCTTGTCATACCCACGCGGCCAGCAGTCCTTAGATTCCTAGTCGGACGCGTTAACGCATTGTTCATGTTACGTTATGTTAGAAAATATAAAAATAATTATTGTCACCGTGTCATATAACGGAGCATGTGAGCGTGTCTTGACAAAACCAACATAATGCGTTTGCGACCAGCATGGATCTAGACCAGCCTGCGCATCCGCGCAGTCTGATCAGGATCCATACTGTTCGCTCTCAGTTTCTCTACTTGTAATAGGGTTGTTAAAATCACGCAATTTAAACCTTACACACCAAATGATTTGACTTTTTATTGACACTCATGCGATAGTTTTAAAGTCGCCCGCATATTTTAAGGTATATTTTTTGCATTTTATATGGCCATGTATAAACTGTAGTATTGCAAATAACCGTTTAAATACAGTCATATTACCTGACAAGAATTTTATAACGAAAATATATAACACTGCAAACTTCCTTTATACAGAGCTAAAAGAAATTATTTCATAAGTCGACTGCAGCCGTGTACATTATACTCGTAGATTATAAACATGAACTTAATATCACGATTATCGTTACAAACGTGCAATATTATAAAATGCGCATAAAGGTATAACCCCCCAAATGCATTACCTATCTAAATAGGTTAGAATTATGATCTACTGCATTAAATCAAAGGGGTGTCGGACCATACTCCAGAAGAGTCAACATTTTATTTCTTTTAACATGATTGTTGTTGTATGTTTTAGAGCCCTCTTTACTAAGACTTTAATAATTTGGTGTCTATTTGAAATATTAGAAATAAGTGATGATAAATCATAATAATATGACAAGTCGTGTTTTAATTCATTAGTTGATGTTACCATGTATCAGATTATTTGACTGTTGTTAAAAGTGGCAGGAAATAAGTTAAACGTATTTGTAACTGATAATTTCTTGTTTATCTATAATCAAAATTTAATTATTTCTTTCAGTACACAAATAAATGCTACGACCTATATCGGTTTGACCCCCATTCTATATTTAATGTCAAGTTGGTTTCTTGTAAATTAGGATAGTTTTCTTACATACACAAAGATTCATTATCTAAAGAGATATGACAAATCATGTTTTCATTGAGTGCCGCCTTTCCTTGTCGATCTTGTTTATCATAATTTATATGTTTAATGAACTTATAACAGCACATGTCCTAACTATTGATATACTTAAACATGTCTCTGATAAAGGTGGTAATGAGAGGTGTGGGGAGTGGAAGGGGAAGAGGAGGGGTATATGGTTATTTGTTAAGATTAAAACAAATATGTGCACACTTGTAGATCTTTAATTAATATTCATTCATGATGTATAGGCCTACATATAAATTTCTTATAAAAAATATATATTTGTTTAAACGTTATGAATCATGTTGTGCTCAAAACATTTGTAGATTTCTAACATACGTAGCAATTTTCGGGGTTGTAGATAGAGATCTATATATCTATAAAGGTTCCATGACATTGTTTAAGATCTATATAAAGATCTGTCGGCGATTTTAGCCGGTAGATCTAGGCTGCTTCATTTTGCAGTAACATTAGAAGTGCTGGCAAAGCTGTACAGTACACGTAACGAATTTGTTTATTTATCGTCCTCTGATAACCGCCGTATAAACACATCTGCGGATGTTTCTAAATTCAAAATTTTACCATTTCTTGTTTAAATGTTGAATTCTACTTAAGCCGGTGCTGGGGGGGGGGCGTGGACGGTACCAGTTTGCACTTGATAGTACCGTCCATGAACAGGCTCAATCAAACCGATTCTGCGACATTTTCAATTTTACCGTTTTGGGCTTTCTTTTAGGGGTTCTTATTTTCACTATTTTTTCGACATATAAATATGACGTAATCATGTTCCTACTGCAAGGAAACAAAACAAAGATATTCATTAAATTCATCTGCGTCTTATTTAAGATCTACTTGCTGTTGTACTAAAAAAATAAAGTTTTGATAAGCTTAGATCTAAGGCTACAGTATGTCGCATCATATGTATTCGTAATAAGTAGACAGACTAAAATAGAACACGCTCTGAAGTCTTACAGACCATTAGGCTGACTGTAGTATGAAAAGTTGGATTTAACTCAATACAGGATTGGAGCGCCTGAAATCATGATCACAAAATAGACAAATATAGTTTTTTCGCCGATTTTTACATTTTTCCTTCATTATCATACATAAATCGGTGTGAAAAGATGAATTAGACCTATTAAAGTTTAAGATTTTAGCATTTTATGATTCAAGCGCCTTGCCCGTTATATTATATACCGGGATACGGTATTCAGTGTGGTGCTCACTTATGTAAGTTCTATTAAAAAAGGAATTACGTCATCAGGAATGACGTCATATAGCTAGTACTTAGTAAATGTTTGTAAACATAACCTTTGCTTATGGCAAAGCAAAACAGTCAAAAATAAAATTATCGGATAAAAAGGAATGTTTCATTTAGCTAACTAATTCATTTTTATTTTCGTTTCTACAGACATACTAATGATCACGTGACGACGTAAGTGCCGGAAGCTATGTTAGAAACTAGGCATCACTGGCTACCCATCATCATAGCAGTATATCTACCCGTGTCTTTCATTATCACGTAAGAACTTTCAAGTTGACTATTATTATGTTTGTAAGAAGTTCTGAATCTAGATTCTGCCTGAACTTTAAAGGGCTGAATTTACACAGGCATTTAGAACTGTTGTCTATAAAATCTAGATTAGCTTAACTTGTGCTGAATTGTGGAATAGAATCTAGATCATAGAGGTTAGTTTCAATCTATTCAATGATGTAAATATATGAAGGTTTACATCAAAGGATATATTTTACTCGAACTTAAAGTTATCATAGAGGGGATCTACTGTAATATAAGAAATGCGTTCATAAATGTAAACCACTATATAACTAATCAGCTGGTCCCATAAATCTGATCGACCTTTCATTTATAGATCATTGTGTTGTTTTTTTTTCTCCAGATACTCTATAGCTGTAGGAAATGATCATGTTGAACCCGTCTTCCCATACATCAGCGACACTGGAACCAGTTCCCCCGAAAGTTGTGTATTTGGTCAGTTGCTTAACATTGGTGCTGCTCTAGGTAAGATATATAAAACCCATGACACTTACGGCACATGAGCAAGACTTTGTGACGTATTCGTTTAATTTTGCAAAAATGACCAGACGAATATATCAAATAAGAAAAAAAGTTAATTTTACTGTAAAATATCTATAACTGTTGCATATTCGATTAGTGAATACAGAAGTTTCCGGATCAACATTGCATTATGATCAGTTAAATCTGTTTCTAATATAATTAATATCATACTGACTCAAGTTAAGATCTACTTATTTCTGACATGTAGATCTGATAATCCACCTTAGATTTTATTTGTTTCGCCTTCATTCAGAGTTTGCTCAATTAAAACGTCCTTTAATACACTTGTTACTATATAAAGTAACAAAATCGCCTATGATTTCAACTAATTATGAGTGTCACGTGACCTATTATGAGTTTGCGGCCCGGGCCGAGAACTAGTTATCAGCCCGCTGAACATGTGCACGTGCACAAACTGAAATAATGACGTCACATTTTACGTCTGTAAAAGTGAAAGTAGGTTTTACGACTCCGAAAAAATGGTATTGCACGGCCGTGCATATAATTATTTTGACGTGACGTCATTTTCCTTATATAAACATATTTGAGTTAAATGTTAGCGTTGTACTATAGGCGCGTCAATGAAAAATGGGTCTTTTTCGCTTCAAACGGTCTTTAGCATTGGTATGTGATTAATAGAATATTAAAATCGTGTAAGTTTAATATTAAATTAATTGAACTCGTTGAATTAAATAATATTACGCTCGCCAAAGGCTAGCAGAATATTATTTTATTCAACTCGTTCAATAAATTCAGTATTAAATTTACACTCATTCAATATCCTCTATTGATTTTAAGCGTATTTCGTACACACACAGTTTTTTTTCTATTGAAATTTAAAGAAATAATACGACAAATTCATTTCGAAAAAAATGAAAATGGGTCATTCTATTATTTTTGGCTACTTTGATAATATAGTATGTGCCAATTACAATATAACAGAAGTGTGCCTTATGTTACATACTTGTGTAACAGTACATTTCTGGTAATGATTATGACTAGAAATGTACTTAACAATAAGAAACTGTTGGGGTTTGTCTGCACAGGAGAAAGGAAATATCATTTCCGTAACCGAACATTTCATTGTGATATTTTTTTAGAAAGTGATGATTTTAATCAAAGCTTAAATTCAGATAATATATTTTTAAATTTTAGTGCCGAGAAAATGTCAAAAACTGCGTTTTATGCTTTTGGAAAGAAACAATTTGCTTAATTTATGTGTTCATGAAAAAAATAAGTGAAAATGGTCAAGTATTTGTAATAGCAGGATCTATTCGATCAAAGTAGAAGATAAACAATTATGTCTAAATATGAATTATGAACTGTACTGTTAATTGTTAATTTAGTTTATATAATATGCCTTTTGCCAATTTAAATAGTATGAATATTTTGATATGTTACGGAAATGAAATGTTGGTTTCGGTAATGATAACTGAGTTACGGAAATGACAATTAACTAAACATAAGGAATTAATTCAAATTTATTCTCATAACATCGTTAACCACTAAACTTTTACAGATAATGTAATCTGCACCTTAAACCTTCTTTTCATTAATTAATATAACAATTAAAGCAAATCATATTTCAGAGATAAAATTCATGAAAATATGTAGAAATGATTGTATTTCAATTTGATAAAAATCGTTTAAGTATAGGATTAACAATTATTGATACAGCTAACTAGTTAAAAGCTTCATTGCACCAAACGAGATCCCTGGAAACAAATCATTAAACTAAAGATAACTTTTAACAATCTTTAAGTATAAAAAATGGAATTTCATTTATGATTTTATATCACGGAACATTTAATCTTTTAAATTTTGTAAGCTTCAATCAATGCAAAGTCTGAGTAGCATTTTTTATATTTCTTTTATTAATATTTCATTGTTTTAAATGGAGTTTAGAGACCGCTCATTTTTGATGGTAACAAATACATAAAATGCTTTCTAAGAAAACAAAACAACAGTATTATATTCTAGATGACTGGAATATGGTGAAACCACAATTTTGTACACCCTTAACGCAGCGTTATTTAACGAACTATACTGTTTTCCATGTACATATTTATAATTAACAAAACTTAGAAGAACCTTAACTTTTTAACCACAAACTTTTTAACCACGAACAATCATATTTCATTCCTCATGCAGTCACTAATGACATTTTTTAAAGATTGCATTCAATGATTTCCCATATCTTTTCACATATTTTATAGTGGCGGTTAGAAGTGCTCTCTGGGGGCGACTTAAGCAATGTTATGACCTTATCCAAGGGGTACCAAACAGATATCAGGAAGGAAAGGCCAAAAATATGTGTTTAGTAATTTCGGGCTGACTTTATGCATCACTTGAACTTGTAGGTATTTTCATCAACATCCAACACCCTGCCTGGATATGGAATACGGTCATATATAACAACAATGTACTGATCAATTAATGTTTCATCTACTGTGTCTATTGACTGAAGTACTGGTTCATTGTCCTGAAAAACAAATAATACAATTATATAAAGATATATGCTTATTCACAACACTTGGCATAAGATAATAGTAGACACAATCATTCTTGGTTTTAATCAATTTACAAATGCATATATAGTAAAGTTATATTGGCAATCATTCGATTATTTAAAGGTTTTGTTAAATGTCAATGAAAATTGTGATGACTTACTTTTGTTTCCATCTGTGGCAGACTTTCGGATTGATTTTGTGGATTCGTAATAGCAGGTTGTGCCAATTCTGAATGTCCATTAGAAACGTAAGACTGGTAATCAAGAGACTTTGAACTTTGATCATACTGAAATAAAATTATTGTTAATATATACACACAAAAACTATTACAAAAGAGATATCATCAAAAGCAAAGAAAACAAACACAAATAGTTGACAACTGTAGACTCAAATACAAACACTTAGATTATATTAATAAAAGTGTGATTAGTTAATATGCATACTTTCTGTATACTTGATTAAGTACAGATAATTTTAAAAGAGCCTTAACCGAAACGCTTAACCAATAATAACTATTATACGTCAGTATTTTCCAAAACGACTTCACTGATATATGAAATCCTATATTTGAACAATATAAACAGAGAGTCATATCTGTCGACAGATCTACAGGTATACTCTCAGTTATTTGCCGAAAAGCAATGAATTAAAGATCCTGGGACTTTCTAGGCAGATCTGATAAATTATACAATGCATATTAAACTACTAAACTACTGTTTTTACCTTGTCAATAAATGTTGTTTCCGTGATTCCGTAACAATAGCACATTTTGGGACGACTACAGAAGCACGATAACACTCTTGTTAATACTTAACCTTGAGATTTGACCAGGACTGAAAAACATATAAAAGTCAATCTTTTTTTTAAATATTGTTTAACAAATATATAATATGATGCATTTTGATTAACAGAATTGCTGCAAAATTCCTCATTAGATATAAATTTGCAGTTTTACTATGTTAAAATTATGCCAATGCATTGCATGCTTATGAATTGAAATATATTATAAATGCAATAAATATACGTATTACTTCACTTCCATACGTTTTGTTTAAGATCGATGATTAATTCAAAGGCAATTCTTAACCATTAAATTTCAACATTTTCAACAGCACAAACCTGTATCTTTTAACTTTCTGCTACATGGATTATTATATTATTTTATGATTAAAATTCAACAAACCTGATGAATTTTCATAGTGTCTGGAACAGATTTCAATTTCTTTGGAATGTCTTGCTCCATCTTCTCAACTTCAGCCTCTTTAATTTGAAATATCTCCACAGATGTTCCAGCTTCTTTAATGGACTCAATCATTTCTCTGGCACATGTTATGTCATTTCCTCTTACATTAACTGCCCTATCAGCTTACTGTTTTACTGATGCACCTACTCCATCAGCTGCCCCTTTGCCATGCGATGCCTCAAATAATTCCACGATCCATTTGTGAACCCAAGGTCAAACAACTTCATGGAAAACATACATATTTTGCCTATATCTGTATTGAGTTGTTGGACCGTCCGACAATATGTGGAGAATATAATTTGACTTCTGCTTCAACCAGATTACAACAGGTTCTAAATGTGCCCAAATTCCAACAGGATTATGCATGAGGCAATCTGAGACGCTTGCGAAGGCGAACGCTTGCTCCTTTACATAGGCCATCCCAGTATGCAAAATGATTTGCTGCTGTGATACTCCAAAGTGTATAGACTGGATTTCTTGATGGTACTTACATTGATAGTTTTCGCTGAAATCTGTGTGCATCAATATCTCATCATCATTTAGATTGTCTTTCAGTTGACTTATTGCTCTGTACTGGTGTCGTATGTTATAAATATGTCTTAGAGATCTGCTTGCCTCAACCTGAACTTCATCGTGTAGTTGTTGAATCGTGCCTTGCTAATTTTCTTTTACAGTTTTAGTAATGACCTTCATATCGCTACTGGTTTGCGGTATTTCAACCCTTTTATTTCGCCATATCTTCCACACCACTTGCCTTCCTATTGTAACGGTATCGTTTAATGGTAGTATACATTCTGTACATTCTTTATACATACATTCTTTCTTGTTTAGAGAATTGTCGCAGGTCATACTTTTCACCAGATTCATTTTACTCACCTGTGTCGTTGAGTAAAATGCATTATTCCACTTATCCCATGTTATATATTCTTACTAGAAAGAAACCAAAACAACAGAATAGGATTTAGGCATTGTATTTGACCAAAAACGACGTCCTTTCTGCGGCTCTGGGAATTCTGCTGTTAAACAATAGTAAAACACCGAATATATACCTACACACTGGTACAAAACACGTGAAAACCGTGCAATGTAATGAAATATGCATGAAACAAAATATGTTGTAGACTTATTAAAGCATAAACTAAACTATGGACTGGAATGAAATAACAATGGGAAACGTGAATAATTTTATT